GAGGTATATCAGTTCTAAATGACAAAGTTGAGGGGTATATCAGACCCTTTTCCCTAAAATGTATTTGTGTTTGTATAAATGAGAGAAAATTGTATATATACATATATTTTCGTTCCCTTCTCTCCCCAATCCCAAATCTTGCTCACCACTCTTACTCGCCTCTCACTTAATACACTAATATATATATATCGTGTTTGTGTTTGTATAAAACGAGAAAATATTGTATATACAAATACAAATGCATATATTTTCGTCCTATATGCTTATGATTATAAAAATACGATCTTCCTCAACCCAGTTTTCTTTTGTCTTTCTCTGTTCAGTTTTCTTTTGCCTTTCTCTATTTCTCGCTTTATACAATCATAAGTTATACAATTGATTCTTTTATATATGTATACAGAAATAAATCATACAATTGCTTCTTTTGTATATATATATGTATATATATAGCAAAATAGTAAACTTCTTTTGCATATATGTATAGCAAAATAGTTGTTACTATGCAAACTAATGTAGTTATAACATATAAATTTGATTTTTTGTATTTGTTATATGTGAAAGTCGTTCTATTTAGTATTGATTCATGATTACGTAATTAATACTTCTATTGTCATTAATTACTTGTCCATTTTATTTTTTTACTCCCTCTGTCCCTAATTACTTGTCCACTTTTAAATTTTTACACATTTTCAGAAATAAATAATTGGCATAGTTAGTTTACTATTTTACGCCTATTAATTATGAAATATATGGATTAAAAATTTAAGATTTTCAAGAAATCCTTTTTTTGAGAGTAATTAATTTGAGGATATAATAGGTAAAATTAATTTTTTCTTTCTTGATTTGTCAAAATGGACAAATAAATAGAGACAACCATAAAAGGAAAAATGGACAACTAATTAGGGACAGAGGGATTAGTTGTCTTTATTTACTTGCCTATTTTGACAATCAAGAAAGGTCAATTTCTTTTACTTATTATACCATCAATTAATTGCTTCGAAAAATGTAAAACTTCTTGAAAATTTTAAGTTTTTAATTTATTAACTTTAGAATAAAGAGACATAAAATGGTAAACTCACTATGCCATTTATTATTTTCTAACTAGGTGTTAAATTTTAAGTTTTTAATTTATTAACTTTAGAATAAAGAGACATAAAATGGTAAATTCACTATGCCATTTATTATTTTCTAACTAGGTGTGTCAATTCAAAAGTGAATAAGTAATTAGGGATAGAGAAAGTACAAGGATAAATATAAAAAAATAATTATCTTTTCTTATATATTAACAGTGACAAGTAAAACTAAAGATATATATTTAAAATAATAATAATAATAATAATAATAATAATAAAAAAAATGAAAGTAATTAGAAAAAGTCCAAATGTGATAAAGGAAAAGTGAACGAAGGGAAGGGAATATATAGGTTATAACCACTTCCCATATCAATTTTCTCAATTATGGTCAACTATTCTATTTATTTTCGGTCCTTTATACGTACATATCGCTAACACGTATTATTTTTTTCCTTTTTGGGCACAAAACGATGTAATATATTAGAATATCTTAAGATGTATCAGTATAAGAGAGTGGTAGAGCATGACTGCTGCTAGTAATCGAGGAGGAGGGTAATTAAGAATTGATCTTTATTAATATTATTAGGCTTTATATAACTAGTAAAAAGAGTTCCGATTTTATCTGCTTTCTAGCTTTTCAACGGCAAGTAAAGGAGAACGAGCATAACATATCTCTTACACTTGGACAACAAAGAAACATTATGTTCTGCAGGATGTCTTTTACTCGTGCACTTGGCAGTATAGAAAAAATTTTGAGCTATAGTTGACATTTCACTTCATTTAGTTTTGTTGCTTTTGAATTACATAATTTATCACTTTAATCATGAGAGGTTGATCATTAAAGATTATACAAGATAATTGGTTTGCCTAAGAAAGGATAGTTGCACCTTAGGTGTCAATTGCGTCTAGACAACAAATTTGAGTCGTGACATATTCATGGATATTTCTTTGAGTGCAAGTGTCACGAGTTCAAAATATTCCGTGGCAATGTGTTCGGTGGCAGATCCAAAATTTCTATTAAGAGGGTTTAGAAAAAAAATAATTACTTTGTTTGAACCCCTAAATCACTAAGTCAACCTCTAATTTTATATTCAGGAAGTTCAAAATCAATATATTAATATAAAAATTCTTAAAAATACCTAAATATACAACGTAATTTTTTACCGAGGGGGTTCAGGTTCGCCCCTGATTATATGACATATGTACGTATACCATGTTGTATATCACACAGATTTCAATGATATACATGATATAAAAAGATGTGATATACATTGACATATCTGATGATATACACAGTAATTGTCTTCTTCAACCTTGATTTTTCAAATAATTGATACGTAAGGAATACTTATTTTACTATAACTTATACTACACTATATCAAAAATGATTATTAACGGGAATTAACTCATAATTATCACTAAATATGTATGTTTAGTGGCAATTAACACTCTTTGTATATGTCCCTAAAGTTTTTTGCGACATTGGTTCTAATGGCACTAATTAATGTCGATAAAGATTTTAACATTTTTTATTAATGCTTATATTCAATGCCACTAAAAATTATTTTTATTGTAGTGTAACTAACTTATATCATCTCGAACAGGGACAGCATATTTTTTGTGATTTCTTAAATTTTAGTAGCTTTTTAAAAATTTGGCTGCTAATAATCTATTACTCCATCTATTTTCTCATCAATATTGGTCCAAATATTAGCATATAGGGACCTTTTTCCTCTTCCTTTAATTTTTGATGGAAAGACCCAATTTATATATGTTACTTTATACTTGATGTCAAGAAAAAATAATTTCATTTGCATGCCTCCCTTGTAGTAAAAGATCACTACCAGATATCATAATAAGTGCAACAGTGAAATTGCGAGCTATGACAATATAGAATATAGTCTTACGTACTACTAATAATTAAGTTGGAGAGAATTATGTAATGTTATTGTTAGTAAATTTTTTTGCTTCATGAAAGGCGATGAATTTATAGGCATCTCTCCCTTACATTTCTGTCTATCTCAATATTAGGTAAATATTTTACCTATGGCAAGGCCCACGAGGGGCTGAGGTTTCTCGGATCAGCTAATATTAGGACTTATGAATTCTGAATTTTAGGGCAAAAGATAAAAATATTGCAAAACATATTTTTTTTAAATGATAGTGTACGTTCGTCTGAACTCTCGAACCCCCACTTAGTTCTACCGCACTGGATCGATCTAATCATTATCGAACGTGATACTTACTTACTTGGTGGACATATTAGTTAAAGAAATAAAATTAAACCTTTACTATATATTTTTAATATAACAGTAAGTACTTAATCCTAACATTAAAATCACAGCTTGTCTTTAACTAAGTTATATAATTAGGCACCAATATTTGTTGAATCAATAATATGCAAGAAAAAGGAGAGGATAAGTGTGGATGTTGAGCACATTTTTAGTAGAGGTCTCTCAAAGGGACATATGCTAGTGGTCATCGTCATAGATCTGGATTTTAACTATACATATATATAATAAACTACAAATATAATAGTACCTTTCATATAAAAGTGGCTTAGGCTCTTTCTCCGTTTAACTTTTCATTTCACAATATATGCGCATGTTCAATTCACTTCACCTAAAACTGTTTACAATATATATATATATAAAAGAAACTTTTTCCATTTCACACTATATATTCACATATTCAAATTCAATTCACTTCACCTAAAACTGTTCACCAGAAGAACAAAAAAGCAAGGGAAAAAAATCCAAGAATCATTTAACTAATTAGTAGGGTGTTATATTCATTTCCACATTAAAGGAAAAAAAACTTATTTATCTGTCTAAACTATAGATTTAATAAAATGATAAAACCTTCAAACCAATAATTATATTATATTTAATAAACCATAACACGTGGGAGAACAATATAACTCATGAATCATGTAACGCGAAGGATGAAATAACTACATTTTCATTAAGATATAGTATACAAATGTATATATTTGTTTCCCGCTTATTGTCTGGTGTTTGCATATATATATATAAATTTTTAATTAAATTTAGATCGCGCACTGCTAGGTCCATTTTAAAGGTGATATTAATCACAATAACTTTTTTTTATATGTAGAATTCGAATCTAAAATCTTTGTTTAAGGTCGAGCAGTCCTACCAACACACCACAAACCTAAAAACTTCAATCCTCCGCAAAATCAGTGAAACACTACATTTTGCAAACATCCACCAACAAACCTTATTCGTTTTAATTTGCAGTTATATTAATTGGTCCAACTTCAATCATATTTTGGATACATATATTATTATTATTGTCCACATCATTTCACCATCCTCATGATCCCAACTTGGCTAGCTTTCAATAACTATCTTTAGTAAACAGAAAACAAATCTTCCATAAGCAAAATAATTATAGAGTTCTTCCATTCCAAACCAAAAAGTACAAATATTGTAGGCCAATACATTATCCTTCCTCTATTATTATAAGGTAGAAGTAGAACTTAGTGGTTCTCTTAAATGAGAAAAGATAAATACAAAAGCAAATTAATTGAAGGCAATAAACCACACAAACATACATATACTCTTATTTTGTAGAACTTAGAAGCACATATTGTGATCGATCCTTTACGAGTGGCAGCCGTAGGTATGTGCAAGAACATCGTAGAGACAACGGGGACATGAACGAACGTAACAATCACTACTCTGTCGACAGTATCCACCGCAACCACCCATCAAGTTATAGCCATTTAGTTTTGATTTCAGTTCTGTTATAGTCCGCGACACGTCTCTTGCAGCGTCTACTTTCACTTTTATAGACTCATCCAAATAAACTATTTGAAGAAAAATTAAAATTAATGTATAGACATTGTTCTTTCAGATGTATGAATAAATTCACATATTATCAAATTAAAAAGATATATAATGAGGGATAGGAATAAATCATTTACCAGACATCACCAAAAGAGCAATAGTGAAATAGAAAGCGTAACTACGAGCCATAACAACAGTATTATTGCTAAGAAAGATGTATACGTGTGGGAGAATGTGTTATGGCAATGCAATGCAATATTTTGGTTCATGAAGGGCCATCATTTTATAGGCCCCTCTCTCCGATATTTCTGCCTTATTTAATTTACAACTTGTCCATAAAATGGTGGTGTGGGGGTCGGGTTCACTTTTTATAAGTGACTTTTTTCATTTAGTGATTTAAAATTGAAAATCTGTAAAATATATTAAGTGATATTTAGTTTTGTAATTTTAAGTATGTCACGTGAAAAATTGAAATGCTAAAAAAAACTAAATCAAGCAAATTGAGAGAAACTTTTAAATTTTGTTTCTTTTGTATTTTTTTTCTTGTACTTTTTCCATCTAAAAAAGTGTTTAAAAGCATTTTTGGTGTTTTCTAAACAACACTTTCAAATGTTTAAATGGGCATATATATATTGATTGAAGTGCATAAAGGGAGGATAAGTCCGGATGATGGGCATTCTCAGTGGCATCATCATTATACATTTGGAGTATTCATTCAAGTGGCTTACATCTCCTCTTTTTGCTTTTTCCCTTTCACACTAAATATATTAAACACTATGCCGTTTATTAATTAAACGGTATATGAGAGAAAATCTTTAAACAATCTCTTCATAGGATCGGAGTAACAAAATAAAATTAAATTTATAACCTAATGGAAGTGTCTTTTGTGGGTTTTATGTGCAAGGAAATTAGTTGAAAGTTTAGTTACTCATACTTTTTGTGGGTAAATGAAACTTACAAAAGGGTTGAGTGTTGATATAAATATATTTATTTACGAATCCTTTTGTATATTTGCCGACATGCCAAAATTATAATGAAACAAAGGCTTTGATTTCTTCTCTCTCAATTTTTCCCCACTGTGAGTGTGACTCTCTCTACCTTACTTTTTCTTCTTAGCTGAAAAGTGAAAATGACTTGCATGGAGGACTACTTCTAACAATGATGATAAACTGCCAATAAAGAAAAGAACAAAATTTAAATTCATCAATTCAAAACATCAAAAGAAGCATAGTGTAAAATGGCTAAAGTATATACATTTAAATGCCAGTAATTATATATAAATATATATAGTCTGTTATAGGGCCTGATAAGTTGTATCCTCATTCTTTTCTCAAGTATATATATGACAAAAAATTAAACTATACATAATATTAATAAAGAAAAAGGAAATCGAGAATGTTGATAGAGATAGAGTTTATTCAAATTTAAAAGTAGGCCAACACAACCCATGCCATACCATATGTGGTGAAAATAAAAAGATATTGGCTATGATGATATTGAAAATTAAAATTACAAATCATGTTGATATATATAATAATAGTATTACATACGACATTATCCTGATTTTTTTAAGAAACATAATGATGAGAATATACTTTCTGTTGGTAACAAACTTTCTGTTAGTAACAAATTAGTGGCTTTAGTTAGTTACAAGTTACAAGATATTAGTTATAAGTTGTTAGTTACAAGTTGTTATTTTCTAATAGTTAGTTAGAAGTTAGTTTTGCTATTCATCAAGGTTACATATATACTCATATTGTATTCATTTTAATTCAATACACAATCAATACAAAATACTCTTCTTCTTCTCTTAATCTGCTCTCAAGTTAAAGCTGCAAGATTAAGCTTTCAAGCTCACGTATGAGATCATCAATGGAGTTGAATTGATGGTGATAATCTCTTCATGGTATCAGAGCTTTGGTGTCTAATTGGTCCTGTTTCGAAGTCGAACTGTGAGCCATTTTTGTTGTTGTTATCAACTGGTTCGATTGACTGATTGAGAGGTTGTATTGTGAGGTTTCTTCTTCTTTCTTTCTGATCGAGGAAACACATTCATAGCTGGAATTTAGCAAGTTCTAGATTGTTTTTTTTTGTGTTAGATCTATCACAGATATTCCAATACAATGACTGGCACTCAAGTTGGAGATGTTGCTTCTAGTTCAACCACATCTCGTTTGGATTTTTCAAGTCCCTTTTATCTGCATCCTTCAGAGAATGCAGGATCATCATTGTTACCTGGAGTTTTCGATGGTACTGGTTACAGATCTTGGAGAAGAGCAGTCCTCAGAGCACTATCAGTTAAAAGTAAAACAGGTTTCATTAATGGAACAATCGTGAAGCCTACATCTACTGATCCTAACTTCATGCAGTGGGAAAGATGTGATGATATGGTCACATCTTGGATCTTGAATTCTTTGTCTCCAGAGTTGCGAGATAGCCTGCAATATGTGAATAATGCTAGGGAGTTATGGGCAGAATTAGAAGAAAGATATGATCAAACAAATGGATGCAAATTGTACCAGTTACAGAAGGAGATAAATGAACTTGTTCAAGGTACTCTAGACATTACTAAGTACTACACAACAATGAAAAAGCTGTGGGAGGAGATGAGCACAGTTGACATTAATTCTCAATGCACATGTGTGTGTTCTTGTGGAGGTAAAACAAAGCTGCAAAAGGCTGAGCAAGACAGAAGATTGATACATTTTTTGATGGGGTTAAATGAAATGTATACTACTGTTAGAGGTAGTATTCTCATGATGAACACTCTTCTT